TGAGCCGATTTCCGTCCCACGTAAATGGAAATATTCTATACACTTCTCTTTGAGTATTGTTCCTCGAGTTCGAAGATAAGTATCTTTACGTCCCAGATTGTAGATTTAATGAGTAAAGGTGTTCCCCTAATACCGTTGTCCGATATGCCACATGTATAAATCGACAAATTCCTGCATACGGCGTTCAGTGCAAGCGCAATCATTGCGAAAATTTTATCGACCCTACTTGGGTGTTTTTTTTTTTTTTTTTTTTTTGCAATTTCAGGTCTGGTAATTTTCTGTTATTTGCCCGGGTCATCGCGATGCTTTAAACAGGAAGATTCTAAAATCGTTTAAATACTATTATTTTTCCAGACTTAACTCCACTATCAATTTCGCGCTCTTTCTGAAGCGAAACCGGAAATAACTTTTTAAGCCCTAAGTCATAGCTTGCATCCAAATTTAAACATTTCTCCCTGGTGGATCGTCGATACCTCATTTCTTACTTTGTTTATAATTCAACGAACCATAACTTGCTCGCAAGTTTCAGTAATTTGTTTTCTTGAAAGAATTTTTAGCAAGGAAAAAACCGAGAACGAAAACACAATTTTTAGCAAATTTCCTTTTTCTCTAAGTTGAAAGAAGTTGCCAGAATACAGTTTTTGTTACAAGTTATAACTAACAAAAGGTCTATTTCCTAAGGTTCCTGAACATTTTTCTATGGATTTTTCTTTTGAAGTCGAATTTTCGACAGGAAATCAACAACTCATGATGCCTATCCATATCTTTAATGAAAAAATCACGGCCTTCACAGCTTTCATGGTCGCATCTTTCAAATCCCAACACTGCTTAATTACAACGCATTCAAGTCAATACAAGCTTTTTACAAAATTTATTTCGCATTCCAAGCTTTCGTGCTGAACAGCACAGCACTACTTTATAATCACGCAAAAGTTATTCTCATGTTAATTGACTACAATGCTCCACAGACTTTCGAATCTTACATAAATATTAAACATAGAGCTCTAAAGAGCTACTCAAAGGGTGGGAAATAGTCTCATCCATTCAAACCCTCAGATGAAACCTAACATAAGAGGCATAAGAGAAAAGGTTAAAAGTCGCGATTTCTAGGCTCTCGCTTTATTTCCTCAAAGAAGCTGGTGGTCAGTTTCCTTTCAATTCCAAGTCGCTTTTATCATTTTCCGTCTCGTAAGCCAGGATCAAATTCTCTAACAAAAACGAGAACCACAATTCATGATATTAAACTAACAAGAGTTGGGTCGATCGACTCAGGTTCTGAATTGTTTACGGAACAGTCATACTTGGCAACTTCAAGAGAATATGTAAGAGAAGCCCAAACGATTCTGACTCACTGTTCTCACGTTTCAATCGACCAGTGATGTCTTAACACGAAGTAGTTTACCGTCGTTTCTTTCAATTCGGCTCATTTTCCTAAACCGAAATTATCAGTCACGCTTAACAGAATATAATTTCAACTGATGCTGACATCATAAAGTCCATCTAAAGAAGAACACATTCCCATCTTTTAAATGCATCCAATGAAAAATATGAAAATCAGATGGACCAATTATTAATAATTACAATAAAGGAAAACTAACAGAGAAGACAGAAAAAATAATTTTATCAATTTTGCATGAAAATTGATGAGAAACATAATGTTCTCATAAAACACTGTTCAAAGACTCCTGTTGAAGGAAGTTAAATGGTGTGAAATAATAAAAAGGAAACATCTCAATAAAAATTGATAACGACTGAGGATTATGAGCAAGATTTTAAAACAAAAGAATGCCACATTTGCAACAAAAATGCTCCAAAAAAGATATTCGTGTAAGAGATCATTGTTTTTATTACTGGTAAGTATAGAGGATCAGCACGTCAAGATTGTAACCTTAAACTTGACTGATAAAATACCGGTTATCGTCCAACCGAAACGTTCCCTCCATCCCTTGATCACAGCAATTTACATGGATTTTCATCTACCAGTCCCCTTTCCTTATGATTTCGGGTATCGATCCTGGGTTTTAAGTACAACCCAAGTATGGGATTCTGAAAAAAAAAATTAGGTTCCCCTCACTTTTCAGCTCCGTTTAAGTTATTTTTTTTACATAAGCAAGATTTTTAAAGATACCGCGGTACCCTGAGAAAGAGCTTCAGAAAGAGGGTGATCTAATAAATGCCATCAAGGTCCCATTAACGGCCGCGTTTTTGTTTAGTCAGCTCCGTTTAAGGTATTGTTTTACATTAGCAAGATTTTAAAAGATACCGCGGTACCCTGAGAAAGAGCTTCAGAAAGAGGGTGATCTAATAAAAGCCAGCAAGGGGCCATTAACGGCCGCGTTTTTGTTAAGTTGAGATGTAAATCGCCACGCTTCGACTGCCTACTGCAAGTCTCCATCATAGGACGAGGTCGACTGCTTATGATTTACCATTTGTACCTTGGCGATCTAATACGATTGGCGGATTATGATCCCCATTGTTCCGGTTTGTTCTGGTTTTCTGAGAGGTCTGACTCCAAGCCCAAGTTGTTCCCTCGGCGGTTTGCTGTCGCACCGGCCTCCCGTTGTGTTTCCTGATTGTTGGTATTCACGCTTCGGGAATTTCGATTCCGTTATCCCTGTTAGCTTCATTGACTATTCAGTGTGAATCAGGGTTATTGGCCAAACTTTGTTATGGCTGTCTCATATTGACAATAAAGGTGCACATGTAACCTGAGGATTTTAGGAACTAAAAAACTTCAACGTCATCTTCCATAGTGACCTGATAGGTTCAGTCATGATTTTGTTTACGTAACGAAATGGAATTGAGCTCTGATGTTTGTAGGTTGATTGTCATTTCCAAGGCAAGTGATGTGAAATTAACTTTTGGGAAGCATTTCGTATGAATATTTTTGGTATTTTGTTTACCAGTACCAGAGAAAAAAAACTTTGCAGAAGGGCCAGGACATTCAGGAAACGAGGTAATCTACACTAGAAGCCATTAGGAGCTTTATTTGGTTTGAATGTATGACTGATTTTGGAAAATATATGTAAAGTAACTATTGTCCATTAGGGCACAAAGTTCTATTTGCACTTGGTTGAGAGCAAAACGTTTACTATAACTGTTGTGGGTTTTGTGGGACTATATTTTCAATAAAGAACAAAGAAAAATTTAGGTGGGGTAGGTGGATATGGGGCTGCAAATAGAAGAATCTAGGGAAAAAAGATAGGTGCATAACAAGATCAGAACACAAGCAACATTTTAATGAATTATATATTGAGTAGTACTCTGAAGTAACATTACATTAACGTTGCTAATGATTTTTAACCCAATAAGATTTACAATTTGACCCGGAGGTTTTATCTAACAGAAATTTAAATAGAGATAGTGTCATCATAATGGATTTCAGGAACAGCAATCAGAGACATAATTTAAACACAACAGAGTTCAGTGTACAGGCAAGTGTGTGATGGTATCATATGATTTTAAGTAACAGAATCTTTCAAGTTTTCTTATTACTGAAACTGTAATTTCATGCCAGTGTGTTTACCAAATTCAAGCATAACAAATGTCAGTTACATTGAACGGACAACAAAGACAACACAGACTACAAAGTCTAAGCTAAATTAATTTAAGTGTACTTTGGTATTCTAAATAAGTACAAGTAAATTTTTCACAAACAAAAAATGTTATGAGCTCATAGGGGTGTGTGCAATTTGAAGTATTTGAAAAATTTACTAGTGCTTATCACATGAGAAATCATGTTGTTACTTATTCATAATGTATACATGAAAGACACACATTCACAGAAATCAACCAACTGACAGCAGATACATTTGACAGTATTTACTAAATGAAGTGTGTGCCATCAAAATTTGTCCTTCAGCTGAATTCTTACTCAGGAATGCAATTTTGTTAATGTTTATCAATATACATAAAATATCCAGGCTTTTGTTTATTTTGGTCAGCTACTGTGTGTATCAATCAGCACAACCTACTTCATGTAAATCTGATTGGTTTCTAGTGTGATCTATTGTTGCTGAGCCTAGTTTACATTTATACTTGAGTTATTACTTTTGCACCAGTGATACATGAAAAAGGCACCTAGCTGTTTTCAGCCAATCAAAAGCGTGTCATTTTTCATGTATAGCAGTATTGTGATGAAGTAACCAAAATCAAACAAGTAACTGAAAAGGCCTAATACACATGTATTGCTACCAAATATAAATACGAATGCTTATCTGAACCCTAGAAGACTGCCAAGCTTACAGGAAGTCATGAAATGTTTAAGTCCGAAAAATTCTGGGCATTACTCGGAAAACGTAATAGTAATCACGTTTCAGTTGTAACATGAACTACTCGGCTCCTATTTGTATTTTAATTAAAGCGGAATCATTTTGTCACTGCGTTTCAATGTATCACTTCCCCAAAGTTTGGAATCAATCACAATAGACATTAAGCGCCGAGGTTTTCATATTAACGACAAACCGCAGTTTCAGGTCAGGTGTTAGACGTTTGTGACTTCTATAGGTTTAGCTATGTAAACATGAAAGAATAATTCATTTGAAGAGGTCGTCATATTGAATTTCCATAAAACAGCAGTGCTTGATTTTCAAGCGGCAACGAAAAGTCCTATGTTCTTAACATGGCTGGTAGGGTATTCTGCAGTTTAGCCAAAATTGTATCTAAGCATGTACTAAAAAGACTGGTTAAGTAATTTTCTTACAGTTGGAACAACGATTGGAGTGATTATGAGCGGATTGAAAAGAGGCCTGAAGTCTGTTGCCAAATGAGTTGGGGATGGTTTTCAGACTCTAAGATTCTCTCGAGACTCTTTAAGACTCTCTTAAGACTGCCGGATCAGTGATCAGCTTCCTCATTCAAAATGCATGGCTTCTGAGAATGGGCGTCATTATATTAATGGTTGAGCGCTTTCAGAAGAACAAGCGATGAATCAGGAAGGATGAGACCAGTCCACCTGAAATAAACCCGACTTTAATTATGTCATGATTTGTCTCATATAACTTTGGTGGTGTCCTCACCGGATCTTTAGTTGAAGTCACGTTAATTTTATTTGACGGTGAGAGGTCGGTTTGTTGATTTTTGATGAGCCCCCATTCAGTTGCCTTACCCTGACTGATTTTCATCTCCAAATTAACTGCTTTGTTGACTCCGAGCTTCTTATCAGCCTTAAAGAGACTTCAAGATCAAGCCTGACTTTTGCTTCACCAATGACGAGCTGAAACCTCTGAACGCTCTATGAGATGTCTGGATTTCTGATTTCATCCTCAACTCACGAAGAAGTCATGTTGAGCTCCCTTAGCGCTTCCTGGTGAATCCAAGACTGATGATCTGACATTGACTTGTGCACCGAGAATGCAATAAACGAATGCCTCGATCGACTGGTTCAATTTCGCCATCTCCGCTTGCGTCAGTCCTGACGCAATTCGACTTTTTCTTGGCAGATTCATGTGCCATGAAGAAGTCGAATTGCCTCTCAACCTTATCATTAACACTCCAAATGAAGCATATCAGATTGCCTTTGATGGCTTTTCCATCTTCATCGCTGAACTTGTTATTACCAGGATAAGAGTTTGAAGCTGCTTACGGTCTAAGATTTGTCACAAAAATGAAAACAGATCTAAGACGGTGATTATCACCTCCTTTGAAGCGGTGAAGTCTGTACCTGATGGAATTTCAAATTCTGCACATATTCGTTTGAACGATGGCGTATAATAATTGTTATTTATTTGATTGAACTTAAGGTCACCTGGAAGAGCCGATTCACTCTGAATTCCAGCCATCTCAAAGAGAATCCTTCCTTACGAAGTAGCCACATCAGAAACGACTTGATCTGTTCTGGAAGCCTGTAGTTGCGCACCATACTGCGAGGTTGAGCTGCTCAGGCCAGTAGTTCATATTTACACGCGCAGGGTCAAAGAGGCAATTCACATAAGACTTCACCCTGACAACATCAACAGGGATAGTGGAATAGAAATTCCAGAAGCGTGGATGTCCCACTGGAGAATGAGTTGGAGGAGATCTCTTAAAGCATGACTGCAGCTCCTTACATTTGGATGGAGGGAGCAAATCACTGAATGAAACAGCAAGGATCGAAATGCACCAATCAGAGCTGTTAAGCTGTTAAGCTGCTAAGAGCAGATACTATTTGGAACTGTTCAATGAAGTGAAGGATTGTAAATCCTACTGGAGACTGGTAAAAAATGCGACAAACGGCAAATCGATTACCCCGATATTAGGGATCAGGAATGCGGATGGAAAAGTTGTCACCTCCGATCTGGACAAAGCGAACATACTTAATGAACATTTCTCAACTATAGGCGAAAAACTGGCCAACGAATTGCCGAATACCAACTCGACACAAAGTAACGTTCATGTATCTACCGTCGCGCCTTGTGTTATGAACATAAATTTATCGCAGGAGGTTATTGTTAGTTCGATGGCTAAGTTGAGAGCCGATAAAGCCTCTGGGCCCGACAGAGTTGCTCCAAAACTTTTAAAGTTTGCCGGTGACTCAATTATTCCATCTTTATTGTCTGTTTTTCAAATAAGCGCCACCTGCAACAGTGTACCGGCTACTTGGAAGGCTGCAAACATCTCAGCTCTCTATAAAAGTGACGATGAAACCGTTAAGCAAAATTACAGGCCTATCTCGCTATTAAGTGTACCAGGAAAACTGATGGAGTCTATGGTGGCGTCAACTATTACCACGCATGTCACTGAACAAGGACTTGGGAACCCTCACCAGTGGGCGTATAAAAAAGGTCATTCCACCGAGCTGTTGTTAGTGAAAATAACGGATGACTGGAGACAAGCGATCGACAAGAAACATGTTGTAGGCGTGGTTTTTGTAGACTTTCGTAAGGCGTTTGACGCAATTCCCCACTCCATTCTGCTCCGAAAACTTCAAAGTCTTGGTGTAGCTGGGGACTTGTGGTGTTGGATAAGAGATTACCTCTCTGGAAGAACGCAAGTAACGACGATTAATGGGTGTCAATCTCAAGCTATGCCAGTTACTTTTGGTGTACCTCAAGGGTCGGTGCTGGGCCCTACCCTGTTTTCCATCTTCTGTAATGATCTGCCCAATATCACTGAGGGAATAGATGGTGACCCACAGCTTCACATGTACGCAGACGATACCACCGTCTATGTCTCAGCTCCGACCTACGATTTGGTGGCCTCCAAGTTGAATGAAGTACTAGCAAGGCTATATACCTGGTGTTGCGAGAACTGTCTCACTCCACATCCCACCAAGACGGAATATATATTGCTTGGTGGACGCGGAAAATTTACTGGGCCAAAACAAGCTATTAAGATAGGTGATTATGTTGTCGGGGAGGTTGTTTCTGCAAGATGCCTAGGTGTTCAGATAGATAATGCTCTTAAATGGGATCATCATGTATCGGAATTAGCTAAGTCATATACGCAGAAGTTGAATTTACTTAAATCCTTGTATTTTCTTCCTATACAGGCAAGAATTGATTTCTATTTTAAGGTTATTCTGCCGTCTGTGACATATGGTATGTTAGTTTGGGGCTCTTGTGGTCGAGTATTTTTCTCAAGCTTAGAATCTATACATGTTAGAGCGGCGAAAATAATATTTAACTTGGATTGGTGTACTCCAAGCAAGGAGGTTCTTGCCACAGTAAAATGGAATACCTTAGAGATTATGTATGAGAAACGATTACTAATCTTAGCGCATCAGGCTTATTATAATCTTTTGCCACGTCCTATGAGCCGTCACTTTGAAAAGTATGTAAGTAGCTACGACTTCAGGAGGAAAATGACATTTAAGTTACCTAGACCTAAGACCGATATGGTCAAGAAATCATGCTCATACAAGTCAATTACTCGGTGGAACGCTCTGGAAAATCAAATGAGATCAATTCAAGACGTTGACGCTTTTAAAAAGTCACTCAAGTGTATTTTTAAGCCACGTATGTTATAATGATGTACTATGTAGAATTTTTATTGTTGAAAATATGTAGAAATCTTACATTAGTCTTCTTATAATTAGTTAGGAATTTAGTTTTTGGATTTAGTTAGGAATTTAGTTTTATTGTCCGTACACGACCACATCAGCTTTTGCTGAATTTTTTTATCGTGTTTAAATAAATGCTGTTGTTGTTGTTGTTGTTGTTGTTGTTGAAAAACAACCAATCACAGCAGAGCATCATGCTCTATAAGATCACGCATGACCAGTCGACCTTATCGCCTGAAGAAGACTAGCAGTATGCAGTCGAAACGTCGTGATTTACATCACACTTGACTACTCGTGAGACAAACGAAAAACTTAGCTTTTATTGTTATTCACCAAAATGAATAACCACAACCTTTTTTACGAAAATCAAATGGGTTTTCGTTGTTTATTTCTAGACATAAATTCTAAAGGTATGCAAATTTAACACAGCTAAATATTTAAATACTTCAGTGAAGTCAACGTTGAAGTAAATAAGAAATCTATTTTCACCTGCGCTGGTTATTAGGGAAATCTGAAATGCAATCTTTTGTCTTTCACGTGGTAATCTATTGTACGCTAAACCGCAGAATGTGATAATCTATTGTATGCTAAACCACAGAGTTACAGTTTTCACTTACAAAAATTGATCTTGTCGTTTTACACAATCGTTTATGTGCTTTCTACGCCAAAATGTATGAAGAAATTCATGAAGTCATGTCTGAGGAAGTTCAAGCTTTGAAAGAGGCAAATGCTTGATCAAAAATAAAATTATTATAACCAAGAGGACATGTAAATAGACTACGCACCTGCCTTATTCAAGGATTACATCAGAGAAGTTTACTTTTTCCGCTCATGTCTTATGCAATCTTCAAGATTTTGAACGTCATCTTTCATTCTTATCAGAGTCATTATATATATTTTACAATAATAATTCTTCAACTAAACTCTGTTTCTCTGGCTTTCAAATTGCCTGTATGTTTGATGAAATGGGTTTGGATATTCGTAATGTTGAATCCCGTCAAATTCAAAAGGTAATTTTAGTGTATTACAAAAACCACCTAATTGAAGCAAAAATCCAGTTTGTTGATTCATTAGCCACGTGGGTCTGACATTAGGAAATTTATCTTTGAAAATATTCTCAAAGTTTTACGACATCTTTCCTCATTACTAATTTTTTGAAATTTATTTTTGAAATTCTCTCACCAAGAATTTTTTTGTCTGATCTTCACGTAATGAAAGGCCTCTCATGATCTATAGCGTATTGAATAGCGGAAGAACTTGATACACCACAATCTATTACCGCTTCCTTTATAGTGTCATATGCTTTGCAAAACCCTGTTTCATCGCTCACTTCAACCATGCGTCTCTTTGTCCAAGAACGATAGCCGAGCATTGCTTTCATTTCTTTGCTTGGAATCTTGTTTCTGTATTTTATTTCGCAGCCTTTAACAACTTCTCTGAATTCTTTTGTGCGTATTGGAATTAAATTTGTCAATAACATTTATGAAATTTTTAAAAAAATTGTTTCAGGTAATATAAAGAAATAGAAACCCAAAAGGAGACTATAATTAAGAGCTGAGGCAAAACGGCTCGTACTCAAAAGGAATTCAAGACTGTATACAAAACAGGATTGATTCAGTTGATCAGCTCCGCTGGCCAAATTCTTGATCAGACAGTTCAAGAAATTGATGTTCCACTTCTAACACCAACAAGGTATGTCCCATAATGGAATTAGAGAAATCGAGGAGATGCTCGGATTGAGAAATAGTCCAGAATAGAGTCGAAAATATATCTAAAAAATCAAAGCATCAAGTCCAGAAGAAGGACAGCGAGAGAGAAAAGTCAGAGAAATCAAAGAGATTTATAGGAAGAGCACTCAACTCAGAATTAGTAAAACAGCCAGTGCATCTAGAGGTTTCGCGAGGCAATTTAGAATTGAGGGTTTTGAAGGTTTTGCTCATGCAAATAGCAAAACCTGAAGTCTTGAGGCTAATGAGAGAGAATCGTAGGACAATATTGTTTTGAATTGTGAGATGGTTAGAAATGAAATATTCAATGAGAATGTTGAGCCTTTGAATCCTTATTTCTAAAGCAACGTAATCGAAAATCTTAAAGCAACAAATGAATCTGAAGAATTTTATAGTACAATGGACACCATTGAAGAAAGACCTCAGAATTTCGGTAAAAGAGGAAGTAACTGGAGATTTCAAATAGTGATATCTATTGACATCCATCTTACGGAATACAGACCGTTAAACGACAGCTCTTACATCCAACTCCCAGAATTCATTAAAATTAAGAAAGCAATTGTGAACATTAAAAATGTAGATAATCAGGGTGTCAAGTCATGCATAAAAAGAGTGCTTAATCCGGTTGAGAAAGACCCTCAAAGGGTCATAAAACTCCTCTGAGCACAACCTGAGCAGCTTAATTGGAGTAATATCAACTTTCCTATGAAGCTTACTGATATAAGCTAGTTTAAAAAGCAGAATAAAAACATTGCAGTAAACGTGCTTGGTTATGAACGTAATCTTTTTCTATTGAGGATCAGCAAAGAGAAAAATAGGACATAAATGAATCTTCTCATATCAGATGTACACTGTTGCCTGATAAAAAGCATTAGCAGACTGTTATAAAATCATACCTTCAAGGATGAGAAAGCAAGAGATTATTGCCTTAGGTGTCTGAAACACTTCTCAAGCAAAGAAAAGCTTAACTTCTACACTAAGAGTATTGCTCAAGAAATGAGGCAGTCTGGATCGAGATGCCAGATAAGGGTCGTGTAATCAACTTAGAGAATCATAACAACTTAATAAGAGGGTGGTTTATGCTGATTTTGAGGCTTGCGCTAAACCAATGAGTGGTTGGAGCGGAGAAGCGATGATAGCTTCACTAATCAGTATCAAAAGCATAAACCATGTGGGTTCGGCTATCATACCGTCTGCTTCGATGATAGAGCCAGTCATCTATTGAGCAAAAAGTGAGGATGAAGATGTTGCTCGGATATTTGTTTAAATTCTTGAAGATAATATCAAAAAGAAAGTGTTCTTAAGCGATGAAGACAGGCGTAATTTTAAACAAGTAACACACGGCTGGATCTGAAAGGGTTCACTTAATGATGACAAAGTGAGAGACCATTGCCATTTCACGGGGAGGCATTGTGGACAGCTCACTACAAATGCAACCTACAATTCAAGAAGTCAAAGTTCACTCTGTCATCTTTCACAATTTGGCTGGTTATGACTCTAATCTATTCGTTAAGAATCTCGGTAAGACTGAAGTAAACATCAAATGCAATCCCAATAATGAGGAAAAGTACATCAGCTTCGGTAAAGATGTCGTTGTTGGCTCTTTCCAAAAAAAGTTGACTTCAAGAACGAGCTTCGCTTTATCGACAGCTTCAAGTTCATGGCTTCTTCTGTCGATAAATCGGTTAGTAATTTGAGTCTTGATAAACTTAAGGGCACTGAGAAGGTATTCAAGGACAAAATCGAGGTGGTCTCAAGAAAGAGTGTGTACCCTTATGACTAAGTTCGATGAAACAGAACTGCCACCAAAAGATAAGTTCTACTCAAAGCTGAATGACTGTGATATATCTTATGAAGATTATGAGCACGCAAAGAATGTCTGGAATGAGTTCCGAATTAAGACGACAAGTGATTATCATGACCATCATCTCAAGACAGACGTTCTCCTGCCTGCAGATGTAAATGAAGAGTTCAGAAACGTCTATCTTGAGAATTATTAGCTCGACCCTGTCTGGTATTGCAGTCAAGTGCTCCTGGATTGGCTTGGGATGCTGCATTGAAGGTGACAAACGTTGAGTTTGCGCTATTGAGGGAACCAGACATGCCGCTGATGACTGAAAAAGGAAGTCGTGAAGTCAATGATCTCAGATCTCAAATCGCTTTGCACGGGCAAATACTCCATATACGGGTGAAGCTTTTGATGAAACAAAGCCAACGAAACACATCACCTGTCTTGATGCAAAAAATATTTATAGATGGGCAATGTGCAAGCCTCTTCCTGTCAGAGGTTTGAAGTGGATGACCGACTTTCACAACTGGAGAAATAGCCCTTGCATTCTTGAGGTGGATCTTGAGTATCTAAAAGAGCTTCATGACTTGCATAACAATTTGAAAAGAATTTGTGTAGGTACTTGAATAGGAACTTATGTAAGGAACTGTTAGGAACTTAAAATCATATACCAACGAATAAAATGGATGCTCAAGAACCTATGAAAAGTATCAAGAAAATCGAACAATGCTCCTCGATTGATTTCAATTAATAACAAAGTCAAGGAGCAGGAAAAACAGATTTTGGTGGACACAGATTATGCTTTGAAGCTGTACATCAAGGCGCATAATCAAGATCTTGATCTGAGAGAACAACAGCTTTCCGACTCCTACAAGCCAAGTGTTCGACTAAAGCAAGGTGGAACGAGTTACGTCGGGGGAATGGCTTTGGCTTTGGGATTGGCTGTTTGTAGTTTCTTTTGAACTATAATATAATGGAAAAAACATTCAAGAGAACAACAGAAAACATTCAAGAGTCTAATATAGCCCTAAAGGCTTTTGGAAGGGACTGGCCGCAGCGAAGAAGTTGGCTTAAGAAGCTAAAGTATCTGCAAAGCTTTAGCTGATCAAGCAAGCCGTCTGGCAGACTTATTTGCCTGCCCGAAAGCATATCCCGAGACCAACTTTGATGTTGGGTCTCCAAATGCAGTTCATCAAGCTGATCTTCTTTTCCTTCCTTATGACAGGCTCCTGAGAGGGAAGAAAGTCTATAAATATGCATAGACAGTTGTTGATGTTACAATTAGATTCAAGGCTGCCGAGCCTCTCACCTCAAAGGATTCTACTGAGGTCTCAAGAGCTTTTCAGACAATCTATAAGCGAGGACTATCGAGATGCCCAAAAGTTCTACAAGTTGATCCTGGGCGTGAATTCACCGGTGATGTCACAAGAGAGGTGGCAGAGCATGATGTAAGGATAAGAAGAGGGAATGTGAACTTTCATAGGGATCAGGGAACCGTTGAGTGATTCAATGGAGCTTTAGGTGAACGTCTCTTCACTTTCCAATGCAGTCAGGAGATTAACTTCAAATAGGGAAAGAGATCGACAGAATGGGTGAAGGGGCTTCCAGAGGTTGGTTCAGCTTTGAATAATGAAGTGACCATTTTTACAGGAAAGAAACCTGTTGACGCAATCAAAGAGAAGGTGGTTGACGCGAAGGGTTCAACCATTTATTCAAGGTCTGTTGGCATGGAAGGGAAGAGACTCGATTCTTCAAGAAGTGCGAGATATCTCTATGTCGCTGGTGAGTAGGAAGGTGATCAAAGAGGAGCAACAGATCCCGTTTGGTCTCTGAAGGTCCTCAATATTGAGAGATAAATTGGGAATAAGAATGAGCCACTTCTCCTCTATCTGAAAGATGAACCAAAGCGTGGTTTCGTTAGAGAAGAGCTTCGGAATGTTCCTCTTGGAGCTGAGTTGCCTCCTGAAGGAATTCGTTGCTTTGAAAATTACTATTAAAAATTAGTTTCTCAATAGACCCAAGCAATCCTGGTAAATCAATTCAAGAAACTAGTAAAGAGATGAACGATGAAAAGATCGTCAATCGTGTCAATCCAACTGACAACGAAGACGCAGTGACCGAGAAGTACGTTGATGAAAAACCAAAAACAAAACAAAACAAAACCAAAAAAAAACAGAAACAATCGATTTATTCTCTTTTTTGTCAAAATATGCCCCCAAAGTCTCATCATCGATGCATTCATCAAAGAAAAAGCAACGTGCTGGTATCGCACAGGCCACGACTCAAACAGTGAACTACATCATTCCAAAAACTATAGCGTTACTGCGTATGATCAATCAGGATTGATCAAACATGCAACACAAAAAATAAACTTCACTCAGACCAAGAAAATCAACTTCAATATATATATATAAAATATAATATAAATATAATATATATATGTATAATATAATATATATAATATATATATATAAATATATAATAAGAATATATAATAAGAAGCAAAGGCATGAAATCTTCACACAAACAATCAACACCCTTTAAGCGGCGCTGATGGCGCGACAAGAGGATCATTCAAGATGATAACATTCACATCCTCTTCACGGAAAAATCACTCGACATCGCACACGCAAATAATGTAAATAAAATGGCTTCTGAAATTGACCAACATGAAACAACAGTTGGTGTTTTCTTGTATCTTTCCAAAGCATTCGCACTTGACCATCATATCTTGTTTGCCAAATCGGAGCATTAGTGTATCCGTGACGTGGCTCTGCAGTGGTTTAAAAGCTACTTTTCTTGCCCAATTTGGTTAATTCAACCAAGCTTGTTCTCCAATGCAAACCATCGAGTGTGGTTTTCGTGAAGGTTCTATTTTAGGCCATTTATTGTTTATTCTGTATATAAATGACCTCCCTAATGCCTCTAAATTAACAGACCTTCTGCTTTTCGCTGACCACTCTAGTATCTTTTATTCTCAATTAAACCCAAATTCCTTAGAATCCGTACTTAGGGATGAACTTCAAAATATTGATGTTTGGCTAAAATGTGATAAGCTTTCTGAATAATTTAAGATAAGAAAACTAATTACGAAAATTTTCAGCCCAGGCAGAAGAAATTCATCTCCAGCATTTCTCACGCTTTTGGAGGTAAACCCTTACAACAGTCCAGTATAACTAAATTCCTTGGGGTCTCTATCGACGATGATCTCATCTTGAAACACCATATCGGCTATGTATGTAAACAAATCGCCAAATCAATAGGAAGGTTTCGCTTTTTCCTATCCTCTTCAACCAAACTCGCTTTGTATCACACTTTAATTTATTCTTATATTGTCTATTGTAACTCCGCCTGGTCTTCCACATACGTATCTAACTCAAATAGAATTTTTTTTTGGCGAAAGCGAGCTGTGCGGGCTATCACCAACTCAGATTATTGAGGTCATTCCGCTCCTTTATTCTCCAAACTAGGAATTTTTAGATATTTTCCAAGTCACTACGTTTGAAAATGCCAAATTAATGTTTTATTGCAAAAATAACCTATTGCCCCCACTGCTACTCAATTATTTTGTTACAAAGAGCCAAATTTTACTGCTATGGTACAAGAACAGCCAGTAATTATCGAACGCATTTGTGTCGCACAGATCTTAGGCAATTTACAATTCTCTACTAAGGTCCTTAAATTTGGAACTCTCTTCCTGTTTCTGTCATTCGTTCGTCAAATCTTTTCCGCTTTAAGACGAAAATGCAAGAGTTTTTACTTAGATAAACACTGACTTGGCCCAGCCGCACCTTCGCAGCACTTATTATTATTTTAATAATCTCACCTTCCATAAATCATAATGCTGTAAAAAATTTGTTTGTATGGTTAAAAAGGCAAATAAATGACGATAAAGATGATGAATACTACTACATCGAATACTCATGTATTTACCGCTGTCTTTTAGCATTTCCACATTATCACAACACAGTTCTTCTTTTACACCATGATCTTGAAGTAGTTTATTACAAAAAGCAATTCATTTCTCCAAGGTTCTTTAATTTATCACGAGTTTCCTAATTACAGTTAATTTATACAATATTACATTAGCTTTAATTTTTTTAATGATATAGCCGCATGACAATCGTTATATAGGATCATAAGCTGTACTTCTCCTTTAACAATCTGGTGATACGATTCCATAATAGTGTGCAATAGTCGCCCTGCAGCGACGATTCCACGCTCGAGATCTGACCCCATTATGTGACGTAATTATTTCGAGACGAACCTATCGTCGTTTAAAAAAGTCAACTCTTCCCACCAGGCTTGTCAAAAATTTTAACGCTCGCCATCCCATGCTTGAAGCGTTGCTTCTACCCTGCCGTAAGTTAAATTGAAGAAAAATTAAATCCAGCAATTGAAAACTACAAAATAGGAAAATCACATACTTCTATGTCGTGAGATCACTAGAAGAAGACCAATTGAGCTAAAGCTCTCTTCCCACCAAGGTCACGGCGAGGGTAACTTTCAGTCACACCATTCCCTTCTCGAAGCTTCGCTTCTGCGCTGCTGGGTGACTTCAGTTACTCTATCCCGAAAAAGCAATCAGAAAGCTTCGCGACATGATGTAAAAAAAATAATTTCCATTGTATGAAAAGTGGTATACAAAGTTGGCTCAGTTCTGAGATAATATTCCTGAAACTGATCTCGAACCGCCAATTCCTTGCCCAAGGACTAACCAAGGATGTAATAACTTTTTTGGCTGCTAAAAAGCTCGCTGGCATTAATTAAAACTTTCAGAAAAACTTGACCTTTCGAATGATTTGTAGATTGTTGATATAGGGAGTCCTTTAAAGTGAGAATTTCTAAGAGCTTCCCCTTTAGCTCCTCTACGAACTCATTTTGGAAAGACTTCTCAATTTCTAGTACAACTCATTCCAGACATTCCCGAGCACGTTTTTGGTGCTTAAGAAGCGCGTAAAGGTACGATTTATATGCTTGGCCCCAAGCTATCAGACCATAAGCTAGATATGGTGTGATGAGAGAACGAAAAATGCTTAAGAGAGCATGTCTTGGCACTAAATATCGCAATTAAGAGATCAGTCTGGTTAGTTATCAGTTTGGCTAATTTTGACTGCTTCACGTTTAATATGGTGTTTCCAAGACAGATGATTGTTGATTAAAATTCCTTGATATCTCACAAATTCCTTGCATTCCAAGGCTACTCTCTTTTAAGTTCATTATTTGGGGTTGGTAAGTAAGTTTTTCTTTTAGCGGTACAATATAATACGAAATTTGTTTTCTTTATATTCAAGTACAACTTATTTTCCTGGTGCACAATTTCCTAATGTGATTATAGGTTTTTTTTTAGCATACAAAATGTTTGTGTCGTCAGCAAATAGAAAAAAAATTAAGTTTGTCGGAGGATTCGTAGATATCATTGGTATAATTTCGTAAAAAAGGTTGTGGTTATTCATCGTGGTGAATAACAATAAAAGCTAAGTTTTTCGTTTGTCTCACGATGTAGTCACGTGTGATGTAGATCGCGACGTTTCGTCTGCATACTGCTAGTCTTCTTCAGGCGATGAGATCGACTGGTCATGTGTGATCATGAGCATGATGCTCTGCTGTGATTAGTTTTTTCAACAGCTCTGATTGGTACTTTTCGATCCCTGCTGTTCACTCAGTGATTTGCTCCCTCGGCGGTCCGCTGTCGCACGGCTCTCCTGTTGTTGTGTTTTTTGATCGTGGGCATCCACGCTTCTGAAAGTTTTTTTTTCCACTATCCCTTTTGATGTTGTTAGGGCGAAGCCTTATATGAATTGCCTCTTTGACCCTGCGCGTGTAGTAATAACGGTCACGATCAATAAACTTTATTTCGTTCCTGAGTGGCTTGTGTCCAGTGTTGTGGGCATGCTCTGAAACGGCGGAGGTCTCGGTACGGGCGAGTCGAATGTCTCGATCGTGCTCCTTAATTCTGTCTTGCGTAGGTCTTCCAGTCTCTCCGATGTACAACGTGCCGCATTCACATGGAATCCTGTAAACTACGCCATCTTGTTTAGCCGGGTCGACAGCGTCTTTTGGTCGTACTAACTGAGATCTTAGCTTAGTCTCCGACTTGAAAACAGCGCCTACGTCTTGTTGTTGTAGGCAACGGCGATGGGTATAGGTTAGAAACAGTAGTGGGTCAACAGCGGTGGGCCTTGCGGTACGCCACAGATAGTGTTGGTTCTTGCGGATACATGCGAATCAATGTGAGTTGTCTGGGTTCTGCCTTGCAAGTAAGATGAAAACTATTTATTTATTGCGTCACGGAATCCATAATGACCTAACTTCTTGTGGGTAATGTTTAGAACGACAGTGTCAAAGGCTTTTTTCAGATCGAAAAGACTCCACATAAATAAGCGTTTGTCCATAGTCGTCTAGAAGGTGTTTACGATATCTAGAATTGCATGCTGAGTTGAATGCGGTTTATGGAAGCCGTATTTAGAGGGAGGGAGCAATTTTTTTTCTCGATGAAATATTTCATTTTACTTTGCATCAATGTTTCGAAGACATCTGCCCTGAGAATATGTATGACCTTTGCCACTTTTTTTTTAGTTTAGGTAAACAAATTGAGTTCGACAAATTTGAGATAGTTGAGATAGACAAATTAATAATTTCAGCGAGGAAACTGCAGCCTTGACGTCAGCTAAATTATTATGAAGTAATCTAGAATGATTTTGCTGTTCACTAATGCGCGTTAAGGGGCAAATATTATTGCGATGTATTTTCATTACTTTATGCATCTGGTGAAGTGAATACACTTCACCAGATGCATAAAGTTTATTTTTGATTCTAATGGATATTCGTAAGCCTTAGTAATCCATGGTTTGGAGAGTTTTTTTGCTTTTATACAGTTGGAAATTGTTTTTCTAGGTGCATGCTTGTTTATTGTCTTATTTACTTTGTGAAAATGCAAAACACATCTAAGACGCGAAAGTTAAAAGACTCATCAATTAAAATTTCTACGCCTCCTTACGTCAGGGGTGTTGGAACATATTCAAATATGTAGCCTGGTATCCTTGCTATAAATATCTGTGGATAAGGATAAGTGACGTTTGTTTCCGTTACTCCAACAATATTGAAATTAAAGTCTAATTCGTGCAAGAGAGTCTGAAGATTTTCAAGGTTACGGTTCAGACTAACGAAATTGTTGTGGAAATTGATAGGCCGCGGTCTGTTTTATCCTTTGACAACCTGATTTTCAACTGCCTACAACTAAGTTTTTCAACGATTTTCCAATTGGAGGTTCGGGAAAGAACGAAGGGTACAGTGTGGCCCCATGTTTAAAACCAAAAACGAACCAAAGAAAATGCAAAATCTTTATTCTATTTCTGTGGAATCAGAACTTTCTAACTCCGACGTTCTATCCTGCGGCAGAACGCCTGATGTTGTACAAGAAAGAGGGCTGACAGCTTTCGTAACTGTCAACAGTAGCAAAAGCCATAGCTCTGAGACTAGCTAAGACCTCGAAGCATTAAACATACGTCAATTTTAGAAAATACACCACCTCTTAAAGGAATAGGCACGCCTGTACATCAAGCAGAAGCAAGGTATAAGCAAAAGAGCTTTAAACATGAAATGTTACATTTAAAATAACCAGCTACTACACAATGACCGATGATGAACACTGTTATCGCCGTTTATTACTCTCCGTCATTCTCTCGATCAAGTGGGCTGCCAGATATATACAGACATCTGAAAGCCTCTCCTGTCGCTCGCGTGCAAGTCAGTCCTTGTTGACAGAGGCAATTTTCGGGAAGGCCAGGCTACAAAAAAAGAGTTTATCATAACAATTTGTTCACTCACCATACTTCAGCCATTCCTCTGGTAAAGAAAATGCACTGAAACTTTGTGTATTGCTATTTACCTCGTGGAAAGTTACAGGGGGAGGGGAAGAAGTACCTTTCAATGGTTTTATCATGATCATATCTTAGAGTGCTCATTAGTTCGCATTTACGACGTTGGTTCTTATTCTGGATGACTAATCGGAGTTTGGAAAAAAATGGTTGTCGCCCAATTTCCGGTAAGCTACTACAAAGGCGACTGATTAACTTCATGCGCGCTGGTGAGCTTGGGAATAAGGAAAAATTCACCACTTTCTTAATGAACGATTTCAAACCAGCATGAAATTATACAAAGTAAGGATATGCGGTACGGCACCAATGAATGACCTTAAGGGGGATTTCAGATAAAACATATTCGTGACAAGGTCAGGATATATATCGTGGTTTTTGTGTTGCTGAGTCATAAGCATGGTAATTGTAGTTCAGTTGTCGTTTTAGAAAATGATTCTAAATGAGGATAGCATCCCTACATGCATGGTTGGCATATCAAACATCTAAGGTGGTTGATTAGTTAGTCATCGCTGCAAAGACGAACGGGCGATGCGAAAAATCCACGATTTAGAGCAAGTGGGACCTCAACTTGACTCCTCTTAGTTCCTCTTGAGACCCAGGCAGTTTTTCTCCGAAAAGGCACTTGCGCGCCCGTAACTTCCAGTTACAAAGGCCACATAAAGAGAAAAGACGATTAAGAAACCTAAAATCCGACCATGTTGCTCGGTATCTGAATGCACTTAACGAAAAACTGAGCTTTTACGACGAATCGAATCAAAATTAATTTAAAAGTGTCCTTTAAGACCTTTCACGCCCTGAGTTTGAATCAATCACTATTTTTAGGGTGAAAAAAAAGATAGTCCTTACTATTTCATATGGATTGCATATCTCCCCAAATAAACTGATCTTCTTGCAGACTTTCACAGCTTTCGTCTTTAAGAGAGCGCAGCATTCGTCTTTAGAACAATCTCTCTCAGTTTTACATGTGCTCTGACCTGCAATGCCCTGGTGAATAAAAAGGAAGTTTCAAAATTGCAGTCCAAGAGTTTTTGAATTGCCACAACTTGTTTTTAAGCCAACCATGATAGTGTAGTGGCAAATTAATCATGGTTACCTTCTGATGAGTTGTCGGTAGCGAGGGCAGCCACGACTGTTTGGATTGTTTCCTTCTTTTCCCGCCTTCCACAAAGCCCTGTATACCAAAAGGGAAAAACTATTCCAGCTAAGCGTAACCACTGATCATGAAGAGCGTCTGCTCCTCTAAACCTGACGGGCACATGATAACGTAATTCAAGATTGCGCCAAAGGCATGCAAATGACTGGTTAGTTCATCAATCAAACAGTGGAATGGTAAATTGGGGAGATCATGCTATGCTAGTGGGTGGCTGTGACTTATTTAAAAAGTATGCCTGTAAGTTAAATGTATTATCAAAATAATTAATTCAACCTATCGTCTGATCTTTCCAATGCCCACATTGGACTTCCTCTCCGAAAGAAATGGAGTAGCTCAAGGCTTTTAACTGGTGAAGGTTATTAGAAGGGCAATATTTCGAAAGTTTCAACAATTCCAAAACCGTTGTCGAAAGTAATTTAATACGTCAGAAGAAATCCTTTCTTTCTTTTTTCCCTACTAAATTCTGTTTTGTATCATTGTTTTTAAAGCTTGAAACCTTGCGGGGCCTGTGTTGTTGTGTAGTTTGTGGTGAGTATGTTTTTTGTGTCAAATGTGATTATTTCAAAAAAGCAGGAAACTAAATACGGAACAAAGTGCTTGAAGTATTTCATAACAAGCTAAAAAATCGTTAAAGTTATAAAAGATCTCAGAACTGTTGTTTTGTTGCTGTTGTTTTCGAAGGGCCTCGAATAACTAAAATCATGTTTATTGTTGATGACCTAAAAATAACTTCCCCAACTAAATACTAAATACGGAATAAAGTGCTTGAAGTATTTCATAGCAAGCTAAAAAAAACAAAGAAAACTAAAGTTATAAAAGGTCTCAGAACTGTTGTTTTGTTAGACAACGAAGGGCCTCAAATAACTAAAATCATGTTTATTGATGATGACCTAAAAATAACTTCTCCAACTAAATACGGCTTTGTATTTGTTCAAACTACAAAGCTTTCTTTACTTCCTAAAATTTTTTTAATTTCAGTTTAATTATGGGGAGAATACGTCGCGTCACTGGTCAAACACTTTTATTTATTTCACGTGTAATTTCTTATCTGATACAAGAGGCTTCGATGCTCAGTTGATAAACCACACTGGACCTAAAAGACGAGAATTCAAGCCCTGTCGAGGCCTGAACTCTTCTCCAACACATTACTTTCTTCAATTTATTTAATTTGTCTTTTAGCCGTTTAGGGATCCATTTTTTGCCATGACATCCAAAGGTAAAACGTCATATATTTCTAATATCATTTTCAACGCTATCTAATAACGAAGAGGAGATGTGACCTTCATCATGATAGCTCTCGTCTCGGTGTAAGGAGAGTTTATTTTACTCTCTTTATCAATCACTCTTCTGCTTCACTTTCTCCTCGTTCCCGCATAAAAACCCCATTTTGACGGCAAAATGAGTTGTAGAAAATATTTGTGGACTGAGTTATCGTTGGTGTAACTCAAAATTACTTGTAAACACTTCGCAGTATCGCTTAAGAACCGAGATAAATAAGCATACCAGAGGTTTTGATAAACTGATCGGGATGGGATATGCTTAGTGCATGGAAAAACCTGAAAAGATTAATCGAAGCTAAAACGTGCATCACTGGAAAAGCAATAATTTCCAAGGTCAACGCATGGAAAAGCCGAATAACTCATTTAAAAAAAGTTTGGCTATTGCGTAAGAAAGTTTGAAAGGTTAACTCGTACAAAAGTTTGAAGCTTATTGTAAGGAAAAACTCAACCAAAAGCTTAAATGAAGCTTATTGCATGGAAAAGGTTACCCCGGCCAAAGCTTTCAAGATCCAGAATGCAAACCGGCAATCTTACCCCAGTTAGGCCAGCTATATATTAATTCATTTCGAAGCTAGGTTTAATTTATAGAAACAATTTTACCCACCTTTTCAATTATCAAAGAGGTGATACAGATAATCCAAATCAAAAGAAACATACACGACAAAGATGAACTCATTTTGGATTGAAGTCTTTTTAACTCTGTTCTGCTTATCTCCTCTCTTGTCGGCTCACTGTTCCAACTGCAAGTAAATCTCAACAGTAACCACATTTTATACTCTCCCGAGCTCTGTGGGAGTCAACTTACATCTGGTGATCCAAAAACAAAACTGAAAGAAAAAATGAATTTCCCGACGTCTCGATGTTATGGTTTGAATTTCTGTGGACAATGGCATCAATGTTAGGAGTTCTCACGAAGAGGAGTAAAAAAGCAGTGATGAGAAGAATTATGTTATTGAAAAACATAGTAGTTGAGCATAAACAAACATCTAATATCTATTTTGATGTGAATTAACCACTCAGGAAAAAGAGTATGGTAGAATTAGTTGAAACCAAAAGTTCGGTTAAAGTCTGAATTTATCAGTAAGGTTGTTGCGTTTTAAGTGCACTGAGATTGATTAAAATAAATGTTTCGGTGCCCTTCGAAGAGTTAATGAAGTTGATTAAGTCATTTCTCTTTAGGTTAGAAAAAATAATCTAGGAAACGTGCAGCGGTACAGACTAAACAGGCTAAAATTCTCATTTATGTCCTCATTAAGACAAATGCTTGAAGAGCGAACCGGAACATGCACAGCTGTCCCTCGTGACTTTTTCCACCCTCAGCTGAAACAAAAGGATGTAATATTTTTCCTTTCATTCATTGACGTAAAATTTAAGCAAACTTCGAGAACAACTAGCAAGGTGGAAGGAGTTCCACAAATCACCCGATGTACGTTATCTTTTAAATTTCAGTTGGCGCTAACAAGCTAGAGCATGGAAAAATTTTTGAAGTTCGAAAAGGTAAAATCATCCGTGTTACGATCGACTATTTGAAAACAAACAACAGCTGTGATTAGGATTTGGCGTTAAATGAAAGAAAACGACGGTTTAAAAGATAGGACAAGGTTCAACCCAATGAAACACGGTACCAGTTGTCCAACAATCGTCTTCTTAAGATATTGAACATACAACTATGGATATATGACACTTAACAGCCAGTAACAACCCTGGGTGTCAAGGAGACAATCCCACGCTTTTAACAGTTATGATAACTGTAAAAAAAAAACTTCGTAGCAGCAAAGCTGTTTCAAAAGGCTAAAAAAAGCTAGAAAAATTGGTATCACGCGACTCCTGTTTAGGGCCATAAAGTTAAAGAGACAGGTGAGACACATACAGGTGAGATGCGCCGCCTTCAGGTCAAACAACAAGGTGATGATAGCAAAATGAAACTGACTTGTCGAAAGGTGCCTCTTTACTTCTCGTTCAACTATCGATTATTCCGACAATCACCCAGGTTCCTTCTGTATTGTCTGATAAATCAAGAACAACGGAGAAATTTTATTTGCTAAATAAAGGTATATGATAGGGGTTGAAAATTAAAGATTGTTCTTGTCTGTCAAGACTACTGTTGGCAACTGTCCGTGATTGATCTATCAGAATATAATTTCCTTGACTTTTTCAGCGTTTGCATTGAAGGCGTATATTGCTTGATACCTGTTGCTTCCTTTTGTCTCGCTCATTTGATTTACCAATGAGAATTTTTTTGAAGGATTGTAAGCGAAAGTTAACCCTGTATAGCTTGGAAAATTTTACAGCCATCAACGGCTTTAAAGAAATCCAGTGTAGTAGGGGTATTTCTGGCGCGTCCGATAGCAGGCGAAAAACTGAACTAAAAACGTCCAAGTGGTTGGGCCAACACTTTGAGTTTCTACGCAAAGTAAAGCACAGTAGATACCTTAAATTAAATTAACTGGTTACACAATAGTCACCCTGGATTCTTTTCGCAGACACAGCTGAGTATATCAGTACCTGTGCTGTTTAGCAGGGTTAGGTTACCGCCCTTCCCTGATGCTTACATGCAATAAATTTTTCTATCTAAAAATAAAGCTAGTTCTCAGTTAACATTATGTCTTTGGAAAATCATAATGTGTGACCTTGACTCTGTGTTGACACTCTAATGTTCTAAGGAAGGCTAATTCTGTCCCTGCCTATTATAGCACAACCATTTGTTAATGTATTTAACACCGCTAAATATTTCTGTCTCAGTTCACCTCTTCGACCGCAATTTTCCAAAATCATTGATCATAGAAATTACGATAAAAATATTCAAAATATTCGAGAACAGAGTAAAAGTCATTACGTTTGTAGTCATTGCTATAATCTGTAAGAGTGCAGACAACAGAAAATTACGTTCAAAAAAAGACCTTTAATCAAATTAAAATAAAGCGTAACCATAGAAACAAGTCGAGGAAATTAGACAGATTAATTCGGAAAACAACGAGTATATGAGCAAAGAAGAAAATAATTCTAGCACTTATCACAGAACATAAAAAACCTTTTTTCTGGACGCGAAAATGAACAAAATGAACTCCCCATCGCCAAGAGCCACAGTGAGTTATTGCCTAGTGCCCCATTGTATTATGTATTTCCAGTCTGTCCGTGTTATGGAACTTCTGTCTTCTGAGACAATTCTAAAGAAAGGAAAGTTGTCATGAAAGATTGGATAGAGAAATACAGACCAATGAGACAGAGGACTGTTAGAGCAGAGACCACAAAGGACAAATCAGGTACACTCCCGCAGCTTTTTACGCACAGCCCAAACTCCAACAATGTGTGGAAATGTTTGTTTTGTTATAACCACAATGAATCTGTTAATTCTATGGCTGCAAAATATTTTTTTGGCTAAAAATAACGTTTGTTAAAGACACAAGTGTACCACGATTCCATACCAGCGTTGAAGTTGAACCAACACATGTTGATGAGTACGAAAGCGACTCGGAAACTGAATTAATGAAAAATGAAGATAAAAAGCCGAAGGACTTTCCTATAATTAGATATTTTGTTACAAGATGTGGACCGAAAATTAAAGCCTCAGCAAAATTTGATCTTTGAATTTACCTCACCGCTCCTTGCGACAGCTAACACTAAGAGATATTGCACGGGTTAAATCTCAAGTGATATTCCCCAATTTTTAAACCTTTTCCAACTACGCGGATGAAAGCGTTCGTTTATAATTTAATTCAAGATGGAAAAGCGTTTCGCTATTGTCAAAGAAGAAGGGACATATTTGTTTATTCTTAAAGTCGTACCAGAGAACACTGAAAAAGTAAACATTCCGCTCATCAAACAGTAAGTTTTTGGTAAACAGTTTATCCGCGTGTTTCAAAAATATTTGAAGGATAATAATACAATAGCTTCCATTTGGCGTGAAGAGATGCTTGTCTACTTTTCTTTGGACTTTACCTCTTCCTTAAAGCTGATAGTTTTCTTTGAGCTCCGCTGTCGCAAAACTGTTCGCATCTCGGCACAGGTAACGTCCACGGAAAAATATCCGTGCATGTTTTCACGCCAAATAGTGGCTATAGTTGTTATACCTCTATATATCAACTACATAACAACAATATCTCAGAGAAGGAACTAATTTTGAGTGAAATGTAAACGAACTGCCCCATTTAAAAGCGTTCTGGAATATAATGCCATTGATCGCCCAATGTAACAGCCGCAGACAACCGCCGTGACGAATCCAGTTTGAAGAGTGAGGTCTATAAAATTCAGCTACTATGGTTTGCACGTATAACAGTGAGAAGTACGTTATTGTTTGAAACTGATCATTGTTTGAGGTCTTGGAAGTACGCTACACTCCACTGACTAAGTCAAAGGAAGACTGAATTTAATCTATATGAAATGATATATCACTTAATATTAACTTAAACTCATTGAAGAAATATCTAACTGATTATCGTCAAACCTAAAATGTAACCGTCAACCGTGTAAGACCCTAAAATTTAACCGCTAGTAGTCAAAATCGGGAACAAATAACCGTCAGCCGTCAGAGCTACCCCCCATAGAGACCCTCGGATAAAGTTTGGTTATCGACTACTGAATGTGCAAGAATTCCTTATGCAATTGTTTCATGAGATTTTCCTTCTTTTTTTTTCTTTCTCTCGTTAGCCCTCTAATCTACCACAAGATGATTAGTGATTCAAAGTAGTTTTCTTGGTAAAATTAATTTGGTCTTGCACTAAGATGAAACTTAACCCTCAAATCATGTCTTCTTTTAACTCAATAATCCTTTTATTTCTATTTTTTCCCCAATAATTTTTCCGAAAAAAAAATCGTTTACCAAGATGGCCGACCTGCTAAACAGTCGCTTTTGTAACAGCAATAGAATTGTCCAACTAATGGAACGAAGTTTCCAAAGAGTGTTCTAACATGTTTACCAGCAGTAAAGCTTTTTTCATAAACACGGCTCTAAGAAACACGATGGGGTGGGAGTTCATTTTCGTTTGATGAACATAAAGCTGCATGTCTTCTCCTTTGTTCTGAAGACTGAACAGCTCCATGAAATATCAAATCGACCCGTTCACTTCATGATGAACATTTTGGCATGTTTGGCTTGAGCCGCAAGTA